CGAACAGCTCAGTATAAACTGGGCTCCCTCACATGAACCAACGGATTTCATGGAGAAGATACGCAATAGAATTTTGTTGGGTTGAAAGAAATACTCCCGATCTCAATGAGATACCCAAACACTTCATATCGCTCCGAGTCCTCAAAGAAATCTCATTTAACAATTGCCAAGTCTCCCCTTATGTAGATTGCTCTTCTAGCATCGTATTTCCCTCACATCGAAAATCTTCCACATCCTTAACCGATACTGGTAAACGCCTAAGTTCGTTATAACTACAATCAAGCAGCGACAGAGAGTCTGGTAGAACCGGAAGATCCTGAAGTTCATTGTAACAGCAGTCAAGGTGATAAAGCGTATTAGGAAGCTCAGGCAGAAAATGTATACGGTTGTCACGACAATCAAGGTGCTTCAATGACGCAGGGAGGGATGGAAGAAAGGACACGCGATTCCTTGCAACAACTATAGACGTAACCGATTCAGGGAACTGCGGAAGCGTTTGTATCCGGTTTCCTAAGGAGAGTCAGTACATTATTGGGTACCCAATAAGGAATTGTTATGGTTTATTACCTTCAATATTCATCCTTTGAAGGTGAGGAGGTAACTCGGGAAGCGACCCAAGACTGTTATTTCTGCATTCTAAGATTTGTAGCGACGATGGAAGATCTGGCAGAGATGACAGAGCACAATTACTAGAGTTGAGTTTGACAAGAGTGTTTGGAAATCTCGGGAGAAAAGTTAAGCCGCTGTTATGAGAGCAATCGAGACACTGAAGATTCTGTAATTTCTCTGGAATTCCGGATATATCACAATATGCACAATCGAGGGTCTCAAGAGACGAACATAAGCCCGTTAAAGTTTTGATGGAGAAACAATGGTGCATTTTAAGGACTTTTAATGAGGACGGCAGAGAAGGAAGTGATTGCATGAGGTTTGAAGAACAATTCAGAGCCTTGAGTGATTTCGGTAATCTGCGTATAATCGAGATACTGTTGTACGAACAATCAAGTTCTTCTAAAGTTGACGGCAATTCCGGTAAGAAGTCAAGGGAATTAAAAGAGCATTTCAAGACTCTAATATTGCCCCGCAGAATCGGCAACTCGGTCAGACTACACATTTCCAATGTAAGCTTTTCCAGAGTTCCCGGAAGCTCTAAAAATTCCGGGAAATTGATCGGGACCTGAATACATTCAAACACCCTCAAATAAGGCACCGTCACTCTCAAAATCGATAATGCTTTCGGAAAATGTGAATAGGCTAGATATGACAGATTTGGTAAAAGTTCTTCCAAGTCACCAATCCAGTCACCTCCTCCCATGAAGGTCAGCTTCTTGACAAAGCCTAGCATATTTTTGTTTTCGTATAACTGCTTGAGATACACATTTTCAACAGCTGTAGTGCGGAAAAGCCAGCGTCTCGCAATATTTAGAAAAGCGCTGTGCGTAAGCGACAATTCCTTCAGATCGTTGGACGCAAGGTACCTGGCGATGTATGGTAAGATGTCTACAAATTTTGTCGTGATCAGCGGGCAAATGTAGCTATCGTGAGGCATAAATTGAATACTACTTCAATTAGAGTGTGCGTTCCTGATTAGAAGAAATGGATTTCGAATTTGTGGCTTGAGTTGAAGGAGAATTGGATTATGTTTGGAGGATTCGGAGGACTGGCGCCAAAGCCAGTTGATTCAAATGATCCCGCGCCCAACCAGACTCCGGAGTGAATCGTCGAGACCATGATTTTGAATTGTGTCTTTTTCAGTTTGGCTTTAATATGCATAGGTATATGTTGTCAAGGAAATAAAACCAATGAAAAGCAGTACATCTTCTTGTTGCGGCTTGGTTAATGACATGAATTACTTGTTATGTTGCTTGCGCATCTGGCTCATTGGTGAGTGTAAGGGGCGGAGGTGGGTTACAATAAATCGGTGAAATATGCCTAATTCATAAGCAGAAATTGGTGACGAATTCCAATTGTACTGCGAAACTCCCGACATGTTCTCCGTCAAAATTGACTTAATCATAATTCGAAAATCTTTATTAATCCTTCCTTCGTCTACTTCGCAGGCCAGCTTTCTTTCCTTTGTCACCAACAACAACCCATTCGTCATCTGTCCTCTCTCCTGCATCTCTACCTTCATCTTTCTTAATCTCGGATTTTTCATGTAAGCACATTTTATCTTTTTGTCCGCCGTGGTCTCCTTTCGAGGCCACGATATACCTCACACTCCAATCCCCTTTCCACCATTTCACGAAATATCCTATACAGTACGATGCAGCCGGTAAGTTGGAGTAAATGATAGGTGTAATAGGCAGCCACATGTAGTCCAATAAGTATCTTAGGTGTCTCGTTTTAGTCTTGGAATTTCGGGTTGGCGAGGACGGGGAAGAAAATATCCCTGACGCATCAAGCAATCTATGCAAGATTTCGTATTGGACAATCATTACAATCAACCAAATGCCGTTTAAGCCGTTCACCATTGAAATGTAGGACAGCACATTGGTTCCGATACCATTGTCGTTAAAAAACGATGGGTACAGTGCCAAAGTAATCGGGACAACCAACATCATAAACAAGCTTAATGTCAGGATTAAATGAGCTTCGAGGAGATTAGTCATCACCATGAAATGATCAAAAATAATGGAGCTTTTTGAGGGCAAGGGTGGCAATGGTAGACCGGGCTGATTGGTTGCTTTTGTCGATTTATGCGGGGTGTCGTAGATTGACGAAGGTTGAAGTTTGCCTTCGGCAGAAACAACACGAGTTGCGTCAATAGATGGAAGCAATCCAAAAATTGACAGCAAAAACTGTAGAGAGTAGGAAGAGTCAGGTAAACCGTCAAGGTGTCGCCTTCCTTGCTCGAATCGAGCGTACATATTTTGGACATAACATTTGATGTAAGGTAATGCTGAAGAAACAGACAGCGGAGGAGATTGCACTGCCTGAACGTTGGTGATGTTGATGGGGACGTATATAGGGGTTGCTTTGGCAAGTGTGCGAGTGAGGAAGAAGCATTTTAGGTACATGTGATAATCCTCACCAATTGCATTGGGGGTGGTATCCCAATAGTGAACTAGATTGGCAAGAGACTTTTATGAACCAAATGAATTAGTACGATTGTTTAGAAAGGACTCAAATGAACGGTGCCAAAACTACAAACCAACGTCAAAGAATAAGTACTGATTGGAAAATTAATACCCCGAATATTACTCAAATTCTGCATCACTACCATACTCCACATGGCATCACACAATCGGACTGGGGCAGGGACTTCCTCACCATTCTTTGCGAAAAAGATAAACGGTGAAAAAATCTGAAGCAATGTATAAGGCTGTGATACAGGAACAGTGAAGTCGGGTTTCGCAGTTCGGCTGGGCGGTGAAAATTCAACTGGATTTTTTGAATTCCCAGAACGGGACTGCTGGTTACGGTAGAATTCGATCATCTCCGTTCGTTTCTTTGTTGCAGTTGAGTCGACTTCATTGATATAGACTTCTGGAATGTCCGAATCCGCATCCATTACTGTCACAATCACATACTCTTGGTCGAACTTTTGAGATTTCACCCATTGATGAACGCAACGAACTGAGTACGACACATTTGATCCTTTTCCTAAGAAATCGACAATTTTAACTTATATGGCAAAACATAAAGCAATTTCATTAAGAAAATGAGGACTTACCCTTTGTTTCGTGCGGTTGAACTTCATGATTTGTACAAAGCATAGCAAAAAACTTTTTTTGAAACATTTCCATAAGGATGGATGCTCTCTCTTCATGACCTATTCCAGATTTATTTAGCTGTAGAGTCAGACTAACTTTTTTGAGATATATCGTCCACAACATACTTGGATCATGCATCTCCATTGCGAGGACAACTACATAATTCGATTTAGAGCCTTTGTGACTTGCCAATCTTTGAATTGTCGATTGAAGAAGGGAAACTGACTCGCCGTAATTTGGAATTACAAATACATGAAGGTACTGCAATATCTAACTCACCAAAATAGTATTAAGCATAAGCACTTGCGGTTACTGTGACAGAAAGCGAAAAGAAACCCACCTCATCAGAGCCATCTTTCTCCGACTTCTGCCTGTAGTTGGCCACACATCGAATAACCCTCTGAGCAGAAATAAGATTTTTAACCATATTCAAAAAGCTAACACCAGAGAAATAGGTGTACAACATCAATAGGGAAAGATGATGCCATGACGGAAAATATACCGGCCCAAGGAAGATTGAGGCAAGGGATATAAAGAAGGCCGACGGAATAACAAGATCAGTCACAGCAGGATGGAAGGGATTGCCCTTCGGAATCAATGGCTCAGGTGGAGGCAGATATTTAACAGAAACCCCCATATTTGGTCGACTATAAATTCCAGTTAAGATGTAGGACAGTGCTACCAAATGTTCTCAGTCTGACGGTGGATAAAGCTCGGGCACAGACAGAGAACGCCCGGCCCGTTCTTTGCACCAAGGGGCATTCCAATTGATCTCTGTTAAACACATTCCTTCGCAGGTCTAATACCTTTGTATTTCTAGAAACTCAAATAACTGTTGTTTTAGGCTGGCACAATGGGCGGTGTAAATTATGAAAAGTAAAAATAATAAAATGATTTATTTTCAGGTTCATGTGCATCGCGTCCCGAGCGTAGGGCTTTCACCGCATAATTTTGTCCACTGTTAAATATAGAAAGATATATGAATCGAAAGGCTTTCACTTATGCCATATTTATTGATTTCGTTCATTTCTGTCTGGGGCACGAGGAATTAACGTGCTGATTGAAGTGTGTATAGGTGTAGGTGCGGTAAGGCTAATGCAGACATATTTACGATGCCTGACCTGATTCCCTAGTAATTCGACTTCAATAATTGCGACATCCTATTGCCGTTGACAGCTTGCAACTCAGCACAAATTTTGATTCCCCATGGCGGACAGTGAATTCATTAGACAGACTGAATTGACGAAATGTATATCAAAAAAATAGGGAGAATTTGAAACAACTGCTCTAGTGGCGCAATGGTTAGCGCGTTTGGCTGTTAAAGGCGAAGTGCATCGAATTGACTGTTACCAAAAGGTTGGTGGTTCGAGTCCACCCTGGAGCGTTTTGCTTCACACTGCAATGGGAAATAGTATTTCTTTTGTGATTCTAATTTATGATGGAAATACTTTGAGAAAATTGTTAATTTCTGCGCTCATAATAATCTCACCTTAATGTGGTAAACCTCCAGTTTCAGAACAGGAATAAACTTTTCGATCCCTAAACACCCTGATTAACATTTAGCAGATATTGGGCCCACTATGTTTTATATTCAGTAATTAACTGTGAGGGAAGTGCCGTTATAGTAAAAATAAAATGGAAATTTGTAATTGCTAAAGCCTCTGTATTGTGCGGCCCTTGTTTTGGCGCATGTTCCCGTTCAAAACTTCGTGACATTCTCTCCCCTGTACTAATCAGATAGAACACACCATCAGCCGATCCAGACATAACCACAACCGCTGATTTATAGTGTCTATATAGTCTGGAAGTTAAATCTATCGATTTACAACCACTCCTTCTAAATGGTTGTCCAGTCAATCGATTCCTACGAACAAGCTTACTCCCAGATACGAGAGCATGCTCAGTCGAATTCTCAAGATGGTGCACAAGCTGTTCTTCTGTTCGTTGCAAACGATGTAGATGCTGTGTGTGCGTGCAAAATTATAGTGGTAACTATCTGTGACATTCAGAATTGCTAAACCTCGGCGGCAGCTAATTCGCCTTCTTAAATGCACTTTCCCACGACATGACCGGACTGTCGAACGATATCTCCAACTTTGCATTGAATCTAGTCGCTTCTGAAAGCGGATTATATTCCTTATAATATTGTTCCTGTCGCTAGTTATTCGGATTTAGCAGAATATAATGAAAAGTTGATTCAACCTAATGAAGAGGTAATAGGCTGAGTTACAATTTCGTTGTTCAGTATTCTAATCTTTTCAAAGATATCTCACAATATACTAACTATAAATTACCACTGTAAATATTACTTTGTTTAAATTGTCGACTCTTATCTCGGTTTACCAAAAACAAAACACGGTTTGACGCGCATCCCCAACATCATGAAATTCGATGTCCATGTTCATGTTTTTTCCAAATAATAGCTCCAATCAGTTATATTTATCAATTGCGGCGGTTTAGTGGATTTATCAGAACTCTTGGACATAAGGGAAACTTTATACTGTTACGTTTTTGATTCCCATCGACCATTAAATCTAACAAATTTATGGGGTTCATCAAATGTAAGTCTCCTGCTTTGTGATGTATTAACTTCAATAGTTCGCATATATGTAATGTCTGACCAACTGTATCTATTCCCTATTCATTGCTGCTTAAATGTACTATGCATCGTATCAAATTCAGATCATTGTTTTCGACGATGGCGAAATTGAAAACGACATGGGCGAAATCAAGGATGCATGGATTGAGAGTATGGTAAGTTTACTTCTCAAATGCTAACATTGAGTTTATTCATTCTGTAATCTGTGGCACTCGTTTTACTTAACATCATTCTACTTAAAAGTACGATGTGGATGACGATGAGGACTCCGATTCAGAGGGCGATAGTGATGGAGAGGACGAGGCAGACGAGGAAATGGATTCGGATGAAGAATCTTCGCCTCCAGATCACGATTCCGATACTGAAATGTCTTCATCCAAAGAGAACTCTCCTCCTAATTCTCCTTCCTCCCCGAAATCAAAGAAACGGAAAAGGCCAAAGAAATCTTCTGGAGAAAGTAGGAGAGAAAAAAGAGTGAAAAGAGCGCAGGCGCAAACACTTATCTTGGACTATTACCAGGGTGGATATTACTTTGGATTCTCGGTTGCTGAGATGGCTTTTTTGCTGTGCGATGCATTGGACAGAGTTAAGGGTGATACCGTGTGGTATGTATTTGACCCATTGATTTCCTCATCAAAGGCTCGACACTCATAAATCGAGAAATTAATCCTGGATTGCCTTTGGGTATAGGTTGGCGATTCTCGGTTTAACGGACCAGTATATTCACCATCGCATCTCGCATACCCGATACCTTCAACAAACAGAAGTATATCAAACGCTGGTCCGCAAATACTTTCCCACACCTCCAACTTCCTCTACTTCAAACGCTACTTCTTCGACCGACCCTGATTTAGACGATCCTTCCCTCGAACCGATGCCTACAAACGGAAACGCACATTCGACGGAGGAGGACCTAACGATTTCCGGAGTGGCAGTCGATCCTGGAAAGGGATACGTGAAGTTTGAAGCTGAAGAATTACGATTCATTCATTATCGGCATTGGAATCTGTATGATTCTCTGATTCACAGCGATTATGTTTGCTGCCGCGTCTCAGGCTGGAATGAAAAAGGCAAAAGTAGGGTTCGAAATATGTTGGCCAAAATGGGGTTTGTATTCTATTCAATTTGTAGCTTGCGAATCGTTTTGCTCATTACCCATTTCTTGATACCAACTCCTTGACTGCAGCATGCCATTCAAACAATCACTTCAACTCCATCATTCTTTACCGTCCTCCATCAAGTCCTCACTTCCAAAGAAATTGGTTGAGATTGGACCACAATATAATCTGCCGAACATCACCTTCCCTTCATTTACAAAATCTTATGGATTCAATTTCGTAGTTTCAGCCAGTGATGTTGTTTACGCTGTCAGCGCATTATTGGAGGCAAGTTGCAGAGGGTGGGAAGGGTTGGAGGGAGGTGTTGGATTGGGGTTGGGTTTTGGCGGGGGAATGGGTGACGAAGAAGATGGGACGAAGGTATGGGAGAGAGGTTGGTTTGCTGGATATGATGCATTGGATGAGTACGTTTTCTATACTCAATTTTCGTTTTACATTGACTCTATCTGTTTCTAAATCTGACCTGTTCCCAATTTATCTCACTAAAATACAGTCGCGACCTTCTCTTACATGGCATCAGTCTCTCTCGTCACCTTCATTCCTGCATCCTTCGAACAGCGACTTCACTCATCGAAAATCAGTCAGTCAAAACAATGAAAGGTTTCAGATTCGTTTTGATCAAAGATGGGCCTGATATTGGCGTTTTTGGTAATGAAGGCAGAGTGAAGAGTTTGGAACGTTTGGGCACTTGGGTTGGGGGCGTAGTCCGGGTATGCCTTCATTCCGTCTTTTGTTTTTATATCGAAATCTCAATCTTCGTATCTGACTTTGGTCTCTCTATTTCTCCCTGTTGCACTTTCCTGTTCTGAAACTCTCTGAATTCCCTTGGTTGGCTGGCATTTTGTTGCGATTATTAGGAAATGAAACGAATGTCCACCTCACAGAATCAACCGTCGCATTTGCCGCTTGTCGTTGCAGTTTATAACGCTCACAGTCAAACGTTCATGGTCATGGCACATATGATTGGCATGGAATGGGGAGTTGTTAGGCGGAAGTTTGTGTTTCTTTCATGATTGAACTACATAATTATTAAAATTGACATGACTTACTACTTAATGAATTGATTTTTATATTGGTTTGTCCGAATGACTTTACTTTTAGTATCTTCCCACTGGCATTCCAATCGACAACATCCTACACTTCAGCTCGAGTCAAGCACGATGCGTTTGAATCTTGGTGGTTAGAAATTAATAAAGATGACCTGGTCGACTGGGTGGAAAGATTGTGCGTTGAAATTGCCAGGGTTGGATACTGAAGTTCATACGATTAGGATTTAGACAGCTCGGACAATCGGATGAGCTGGAGTGGTTTCTTTTGGAATAATGGGAGAGCACAGATGACTTCAACAATGTAGATTAATGGATGTTTGACGGTTTCTTTTTGTATAGAGAAGCCGTTCATGTATGTATTTTCACAAAATAAAAAGTCACATTCTATTACAAATTGCTACATGTTCTCCGTCAGCCAACATCCGTCGATCACTTCTTCTTTGGTCCTGTTCGCTTAATTGCAATCGGTTAGCAGCGTTTGGCGCCAACAAATACAAGCGAGCTGCTGAATGAAAATTGATCTGGAAAATCAACCAAACGAAATCTGAAATGCCACTTCGTGAACCGTCTGATTCGAATAATAGGCAATCCAAATATGATACTTTCACACTTAGTGTATGAGTACTTCCATTAACTGAGGAATGAATCAAGAGTCAAGTAGTACATTAGCCGGCTATTAGAATTGTTGCTATTTGGAGTTGTGCTTGATAATAATTATGAATCCTTCTTTAACAGTAGCCCGGTTAACTCAGTCGGTAGAGTGTGCGGCTCTTAACCGCAATGTCGTGGGTTCGAGCCCCACATTGGGCGCTTCTTTTTATATTTTTTTTCTCTTTACTTTAGAATATTAAGCTTATTAACAAACCAACGTAAATGCTTTTTCGTCCTTTCGGGTCCCGACAGTGTGCCGCCATTTCTCGTTTCGATCCAATTGTGCTCTTTCTCTCATCCGACGTCGGGAAACGGCAAAAGATAAATAAACTTGATCTCGAGTGTAAAAACTCCATCGCATATAGTTTCTCAATGTACAATATCCCATCAATACACTGTAATAATGTCATTGCGAATATCCATTTTCTGCAAAGAGTGAATCTGTCCATTCAGTCCAGATCGTACCGTTGGGTAACGACTGTAGCACTAGCGGGCAGAGTTATCCGCTGGATAACATGATTCTAATGCAAATGTCTGGTATAGACGGTAAAAATACTGTTGAGAACATTAGATAAGGAAATCAACAAATTTGGACAGAATGTTTGACGAACCATCTTCCTTAGATATCAAGTCGGCTTGTTTTGTTAACTTTGTTTTGCTTATAAATATCGCTACCTCCTATCGAGACTTCTCCAAAATCCCCGGTCATGGTCTTCCAGATTCTCATTATAGACTCCTAATGCTTCCAGAAACTCGGCTTTCTGTTTTTCTTTTGTTATCTCGACAGCAGGCAAGTTTTTACATTTCCGAAAAAGGCGAAGGAGAGGATGACAAATAATCTGCGTTGAGTGGATGTCACATTGATAATTTAGGATAGGAAGGATGGTACATTCTGATTTCGAAGGTTCGGTCGATGATGCCACAGTCATAGTAACTGACAAATCATAAGGAGGGAATAGGGAAGGTG